GTGTGCCGCGCCGGGGACGGGCGAGCGTGTGCCGCGCCGGGGACGGGTGTGCCTACAGGCACTAATAAAGAGTCAGAAACGATTAATCTGGCATGAGCGAGTCAGGGGGGTCGGGGTGGTGGGAAGCAGGTGCCATGTGTTTATCATACATGTAGTGAATCTGGTAGCTTCTGGGATCTGATCCTGAAGATCAGAAGACATACTTGACCTGCCCATTTCTCTGTCCAGGTTTCAGTAGAAAATATTAATTATATGACATATTTCATGATGTCTGTCTAAGCAGCAGGATAGACTGAGGGCAGCTAAAAGGTCAGAGTCACGTGAGGTCATGGACAGGGGCCACACTCCGGAAGGGCCCCCAAGTCATGGACAGGGGCCACACTCCGGAAGGGCCCCCAAGTCATGGACAGGGGCCACACTCCGGAAGGGCCCCTCAAGTCATGGACAGGGGCCACACTCCGGAAGCTCCCAGCTCCCCAGGCTGTTCCTCCAGTAGCCATCTTGTGCACAGAAGTAAGTTCCTGAAGGTAGAAGTGAAGGGACTCCATCAGAAGTTTGGGGGAGATGTTCACTATGAAGGCCCACGAAGGCTTTTCACTCTAGGCCAGGGCTGTCTAATCCAGGCCTAGCAACGAATTTAACTAACTGCACTGGATGTAGGTGCTTCCTAAGGTAAGACAGTTACTACAGTGGTGTTCTGAGTACTGAGAACCTTGTACATACTCTACATCTTATCTCGTCAGGTTTGAAACAGCAAAATGTACGGTATGTACCATTCGTGTCTTTGACATGAAACATTCAAGGTAGCATTTAAGGAATTTACCATTCTGGCTGCCTCTCAAGTTAAAGGAAGGCGCACAGGTGTACTGGATAGATGACTGGTAAGTGGTTGTGGTTACTGAAACCTCTCCAAGTGGGATCCCCTCTGGTTGTCCACAATCAACGGCTGTAAAAAATAAATAAATACGTTAATGCAACGTATAATAAAATCAAATTAAAATGATGCATGCAAGTGAGCAAACAACTACACACTTCCCGTTTAGCATTTACTAATGTTTCTGTGGCATTCATGTGTTCAGGACCAAAAGTCTTCATTTTTTGATTATTTTCTGAAGTGCAGCACATACACTGCTTAGCATCATACTACCCAGGAGAAGTTTCTAGAAGCATGGCATGCTGGCACTCACGGTGACATTCAGGCATCGAGCTGTTCCAGGTCCCATCACTCTGACACACGGCTTGGTAAGATGTCAGATTTTTTGTCCCCTACTCAACAACAGAGAATATTTAATTCCAGTTATATTTTTACATAAAGAAAGGAAGGAAGGAAGGAAATTTTTATATAGAAAATATAAAACTTTTTGAAGACTCTATACGTGCTGCTTAAAATATTTAGGGTTTATGCGAATTGACATTAATGTTACAATTCTGTTTTATCACTCTGTTCAAAAAGGTAAAACAGCCCTTTCATGACCTATAGCTGCTAACAGGCTCATGCTATTCTACTACAATTCGCTGACCTGGAACAATTTGTATCCTCGTTTGCACGTCACGTTGAAACTGTCCGTGAACATGTACAAGGTCTGTCGAGGCTGGATGCGTCCGTGGGGGGGTGGAACAGGGTATGGACAGGGTGTAGCTGACATGGGGGGAGGGGGGGCAGAAGTATTGGTTAAACGGATATTCATGGGGGGAGGGGGGGCAGACTCAGGTCCTAAGTCTGAGAAAAGCCTATATCTCACTTTCAGTAACTATAACCAGCACAACCACACACACCTGAGCAGGAATCAGAACAATCAGGACAAACATCTACATCCCCAGCTATCACTGCGAGGTACCTGTGCTGGTGTACCTGATCTTCCATCCCTTGTTCCTGCCAGTGGCATCAGCCCTGAAGACCACGTGTACCTGATGAGTTCCTGTCTTTATTCTCGCTGGGGGGGTGCTCCCGCAGAATGGGCCGTACTCGCGCATCTCAGTCTGAATCTTGTTGGGAGAAAAATATGGTTAGGAGGGTACTGCATGTTGGGTGATAAAGCGCTAACATGTAATGCAGCATTTCCCAACCCAGTTCTTTGAGACCCCCAGATGGTGCACATTTTTGCTCACTCCTGGGAGGGAGCAAAAACGTGGACTGTTTGGGAGGGAGCAAAAACGTGGACTGTTTGGGAGGGAGCAAAAACGTAGACTGTTTGGGAGGGAGCAAAAACGTGGACTGTTTGGGAGGGAGCAAAAACGTGGACTGTTTGGGAGGGAGCAAAAACATGGACTGTTTGGGAGGGAGCAAAAACGTGGACTGTTTGGGAGGGAGCAAAAACGTGGACTGTCTGAGGGTCCCTGAGCCCTGGCTTGAGAAACACCACCTTGGGTCTTTAAGGATTTGTACGGGGTGAGGGTTAAGGGAGTGTATTTATCCTGGGTGTATTAAACCTATTTCAAAAGAAAGAGAAATTTCTTTTTTCCCCTCTTTTTGACGATTCTTTTATTAGTCAAGGAATTTCCTAACCTGTCTATATGAAACATTACTTCTGCATCAGACGCTGAAATACGAGCGGAATTAGCCTGCCGTCAGCCCTGAATAACAATTCCTCCGCACGCACCCTTCCTCCGTATCCGCTGCCCTTCTCACGTACCTGAGGGAGCTTGTAAGCTAAATGACAGCAGTGCTGGCTTTTCCTGTTCCACTGAAGACAATAATGTACACTGCATGTGCTAATGGAACAGGCAATTATACCTGTTAGGAGGAAAACAGCACCAGGTGAGTATCTCCATTAGCACAACCGTAGTGTGAACCACAGCGCCTTTGTTCCCTGCTTTACTTTTTTAACACTCAAACCCTAATACAGCTATGAGCCAAACCTTCCTATATCCATATGAACAAACATAAGTGCTTAATCAGACTGACGTGACAGTGAAATTAGCACGTCATTCGTTCGACACTGCTCCGTAATCCCAGCCTCTTCGAAGGGCTAGCAAGCAGGTCTGTGATGGGCCCGAAACAGAGATACAAGTCTTCAGTGAAGACGACCAGTTTACAAAGGCTCAGTGGCCGAGAGTAATGGTACGAAAGCAAGCAGCAGTCAAGCGAAAAGTAAACAGCCCTGAAACGTCGCCTGAAGCTTCGAAAGGAGCCTTCAGCAAAACCATCGAAATTGTATTGCAGTCAAGCACAGGAACGTAATGACAGGACCAGGGACATCCTTCAACAAGCCTATAGAAAATGCAGGTATTTTCCTACATGAGTGCTTTCATCACAGTTTGGGCTTTACTCTCAACACCTAGAGGGGTTTTATTTAATAAAGTTGTGTGCCCGGCACAAGGGTACAACAGGAGATGAGATTCTTTCTGGAACTTTTAGTCTCCAGACCAGAATATTTCTTCTCAGCGATAGCAAGGGTTGACAACAATATGTAAAAGAGCCCACCTTTAGAATGTCGTAAGGGCAGGAAACATCCGGGTGGGCCTCCACGTCGAAGGGCTCCAGGAACTCCAGCACCAGCCGGAACCCCTCCTCCAGCTGGATCTGGAAGTGGCACTGGCTCATCCCAGGATATGGCTCTGGGTAGCCAGGACTGGTCAGAACTCCAGATCTGCGGGTCAGAACCTGCCCACTGCATGGCACTGAAGGGAGGGAATGGCTGTGTCACACATACAGCCAGAAGGACATGGCTTTGCGGTCCTTACATTTATGGAACATTTTAGTGTCCCTGTGTAAAAACACATTTGTTGTAATTAAAAAATGCCCATTAAAATTCTTTTATGACCTCTTAACTGGTATATTATTTCTAACAACTATGAGCACTTTACATGATTCAGCTAACGACAGATAAAAGGCTGTTAATTGCATAATGGATTAATAGAATTACAAACTCTGGTAAATGAATAGCCTTTCTGTGGAGAGGCAGGGTTCACTAAATTTATATAATTAGAATGAATGGAAAGTAGATCATCATTTCCGTGTATTCATCACTTGACGTGGAATAGCATTTTTTTCCGTCTCTAGCAACAAACAACAATTAAAAACCACATCTGCACTGGTAATTGTGATAAATTACCTACCGGCTGAAGGTTATCAGGCCCACAAACAGGTATCAATTCTGTTGATTTCACAAGTGCTTTCTCCCAAGCTACCAACAGTAATCAGCATGGGCTGGCTAGTGGTCTGACAGAGGACCAGCAGCTTAACACTGCAGCCTGGCGTTTGACTGGTCTCAGGCCAGTTGAAAACCACAGAGGCTCTGTGGTCCTCATGATCAAAACGTCAGGCTTATCACTGTGCAATGTCTTTCAAACAAGGAAAAGTCAAAACACAAAAAGAACTGAACCATTAAGCCAAGTAAAGGAGGCTTTCAGTTTTAAAGTAGTTTGTAAAACCTGACATGGATTAGGTGGTAACCCAACCCTTTGGGGTACATGTGCATATTTATCTGGTAGCCCACAATGCATTGCAGGTTAATGTAATGTAATGCAGCGTGATACTGTGATAAGGGTAGGACAGATATAGCAGCTACGCTATTCAGCAGAGGCTCATTCGGCAGCCGCCGTGGTGCATTTTGCGGCCCCACCCCCGGCTTACCGGTGCAGGCTCTTTTGTCGGAATGAAGCAAATACCCCGAGCGACAAGTGCAGTAATGGCCACCCACGTAATTGTGGCAATAATGGGCACACGCTGGCTCCCCGTCCAAACCGCTCTGGCACTCGTCAATATCTGAGAGACGGGAGGGAGGACAAGTCCGTCACCGACAAATATTAGCCTCGTATTGTACTCTTCAGTTACAACACAGGTGCCTCTCTGAAGAGGAATTCTAATAATATTCCAGCTTCAGTATAAACGCTTCCCAAAATGTGAGCCTGCCGTTACTTATTCCTGTCATCGAGCTTTTTTCCTTATTAATTTTTTTTTTTTTTAAAAGTCTTCGTTATTTTATTACATTCAATTTCGTATTTTACGAAGTGCTTAGTGATTAAAAGTCTCAGAACCAATGGATCAATCAGAATCATTTATTTATCGCCGACTTCTTTAACATATGAGGAATTTCCTTTGGGGACGATCTAAGTGAATGTTCATTTCTGATTGGCCAATCGTTTAGACTGACTGCAGTGATTGTTTTTTATTTTTTAGTGTATTATTATTTGCCTAAATCTGGCCATTACACTTAAGAAGTCTGGGTGTTTCTCAACTTGCATGCTTGACCGCACTCATGGTGGACCCGATAAACATTGTCTTCCATTGCCAAAGACCATGCAGTTCCAGTACTCAAGAACAGAAGTGCGGAGGAGGGTCAAAATCCCAGGATGTCGTTCTTGCCTCGCCCCAAATATCCAGGATCCCTCTGTCGCATCCTCACCGAAATAGACCAATCCCATCATTCATTGCGCCCCAAGTTCATTCTTGGAAGTTGGCGAGACCGCTCTTGCCAAAAACACGAGTATGATCTTTATGGTGTTGATATTGAGAATCACCCATGGACATTATAACAGCAAGACACTTATTTCATTGTAGTATTTATCACATTATTTCAAAACATTTTATTTCATTTTCGGTCAGGTGCCCACACCTGCCGCAGTTGGCTATGAGCGGCCTCCGAAGTCTAAATCCACACAACAGCATGAACCCTCTGCTTGTTGAATGGGCTGAGAAGATGTTCTGCTTTTTCATTCTCGGGGCCCCCCAATACCAACAGCTGCTGTCTGGGGCCAGAGAGCAGGTAGGACAGGGACGGGGACCCTCTGGTCGGAGCCGTGTCCCAGTAAGCAAGCGGCGTTATGGTGTGCGGCACCGGCGGCGGTGTGCAAGCTGTCATCACCCAGACTCCGACAAATGGACCCAGCTACTGAAATCAATTCAGACCCCCCCAGCCTCCCCACCCTGCCACCTGTGCCTCTGATAGGCTCACCCGTCACACTTACATTGACTTCTCTGTCTGTCTGTTGGGTTGTTTTGTTTGTCGTTTTTCAATTTTCCAGTTCAATTCGCGGCCCCTTGTGCGAAAACCATCTGCGCATTTGGCTTTCCCTGGCATCGGGACTGACTGCGATGTCGCGGCTAAAACGTGCACCTTTCTGTTTCTGTCTGTGCAAGGACTTTCCACTTAGCCGCATTTTTGTATTATTAACCAAACCGGGAGAAAGTGGCATCATTAAAGCTTTTTAAAAGCTAGGCTAATGCGAGACATCCCTGCGCCGTCTATTTTAAGATCAGTCCGCTTTTTCGGAAAACATGGACACCCGTGTGAGGGCAGCGGGTGCTGTCAGCCTCACCTTCCGCCGCGTAAAATGCTTGAAAGCCGGTAAAACGGCCCTCGTTGGAGTAGTCGCTTCTGAAGACAACAAACATGGCGTTTCCAGCGGAGTACAGCACCGTACCGCCCGGAGTTTCCTCATGATCCTTCTCCGTCTGTCCACAAAATCTCAGCGTCTCATTGCCTTCAGAGAGCACCTGCCAACCAGTAACAAAAGCGATTCTATTAGCCTGCGATCCAAAACGCAACACGACTGAATCATTCGCTAATTACCACTTGGGAAGAACGGGACGTCTAGTTTGCATAATTACAGCTGTTTTGCACCTGCCTTTTGGCTATAGCACCAGAGCCTTGCTGTCACGATTTCAGACCTTTGCTCATAAGTTTAATTTGAATCACTTTGTTTCTATATGGTACAATTCCTAGCACAACGCCATAAAATGTTAAATAAAGATACAACAAAATGTGCAGATCTTTCGGTTACCATGTCCGTTTCACACCTGACATACAGTATATGAGACCTGACAACGGATGTTCTCAACCCTGGATCTGATGGGTACCATGTTTGTGCAATAAATATATAGTTGATTGATAAACAAAACTAAGATTACAAATCTATTATAGGTTTATCTTTCCTTTATTTTTAGTTTTATTGTTTTATAGAATATTGGTAAAGTGTAGGCCTATTTAATTTTTCACTGGCTAATGTTTATGAATGTTTATGTATTTTTTAAATTACGAAGTTAAAAAGGCTTATTTTATTAATAGAGGTTGAAACCCACCTGGACATAGTCATACTCGCACAATTCAGAGTGCTCCAAGCTGAAGTGTGTGAAATACAGCCGGACCCGATGGCCCTCGGGGACAGAGATGTTCCACCGCACGTGCTGGTGATCTGGGTAGGTATGGGGGAAGCCGGGTGACGTCAGTCTGCCATAAAGGCCCCTAAGCTCCAGCCCAAAGACCAGTGACAAGGACAGCACGCAGGTGACAGCCACCAAAACCCTAGACAGCGAGACAACACGGGAAAATACGGATTAAAAGATAAGAAAAATATAAGCAACATAGGCCTATATACACCACCGATCACTCAAAATTGCCCCCCAAATTCACAACCCACCTGAATACTAAAACAATCATTCGAGGCACCAAATTGACTTAAAAGATCCCTTGCTGTCTCCCTAAATTCTCTAAACACATTCCACACATCTCTTCTTATCAGACAGGAAACAGCGAATGCAGTGTCAGAGGAAAATGCTGCCAACACAACGGTTCAGTACGCACCTGCGAGTTAAAATTGCAATGACACAAATAGAGATTGTTTTTGTTTATCTTATATTCCATATTTATTTTTGTCACTTGGGTAAATGATCTGTAATTTAGAAAACATTTAATTTGAATACGAAATGTGGGGAGAAAAGAATAAAGTACTACTGTAAAACATTCTGTCAAGCTACCAGTTCTTAATGAGAAGCGTGCTGCACAACAGATCACAGCTGTCGTTTGTAATAATTATAATGATTATTATAATAATTATAATTACCAAACCATCATCAAATGTGAACACAGGGGGCGTAACAAAACAACTGAAACAGGCGATATCGGATAATAGTAAGAATGAGGCTGTCTGCTTTATAAATCCAGGCACCGATAAACACTTAGGAATATAGTCCCTTACAAACAGTTCGGCTTGTTTTAAATACACGTACCTTGCCATTATTCTCTCCAAAGCTCTCTAAAGCGCCTTTGCACAGGAGCTGCTATAAGGGCCATGGATGTGTGCGGCGTTAATGACCCCAAACGGCTACCTTTGCCCGCTGTGCACTTAAGGTTAGTGAACCCGTGTCCAAACAAAGTTAGCAGGGCAGGCAGCTGATTCATTTATAGTTATTAAGTGTTTTTAAAAGTAGAATATATACCGTGTTTGCAGCGGATTATTGATTCACCACCCATTGTTTTAAAAGACAGTGCCGTGTTTATATTTATGAATGTATGCAATATGCATACTGTACCATTAATTCATTTTGCTTTATTATTAATTAACATAAATGATTGTAGACGCCCGCACAGGCAAACTCTCCGAGATGCATGCACAATTACCCTCGTCATTCAGTCTAATTGTCAATCTAAACGAGGTTGACTAGTTTGCGCTGATTTTGGTCGTTATGTTCCGACGTGGAATGACGTTAGAGGTTGTATGAAAAATGCAACCCCCCCTCACAACTTACCGACGTATGAACACCCCCCCCTTCGCGGTCAGTCCAAAGAAGTGCTTAGTGAGCGGTATACACGGCGCGATTTTCACAAACAGACAATTAGACGAAGTGGTTTTCGATGAATGGTACCAGATGGTAATGGTGAAAAACAACGGAGACAGTAAAAATAAATAAAAGCTCTTTACCGCATCAAGTGCCAGTTGTCTTTAGATCAGAATTCATTTTAAACGCCTTTGAAATGCAAGTAGCCCATTCAATTCCGTGTCACGATGCCAAATTAAATGCTATTTCAGCTGTTATTACAAATGATGAAGAATTTTTTAAACCGTAGAAAAACAACAAATGACCATCGTAGACCCCCATTTCATACACAGCAGGAAGGGATACAGAGATCCCTCCCATATTCAACCCACTGAGCCTGGGCGGAATAGCAGGAGAGCCCGGGGCACACCACAGACAGAACAGTCTGGGGTGCACCCCGAACGGGATGCCAGTCCATCACACGGCACGGGGCTGGGGTACGCCCCAGACGGGATGCCAGTTCACCACAGGGTACTGAGCCAGGGTACACCCAAGATGGAATGTCAGGCCGTCATAGTGTACAGACCTGGGCTATGCCCAGGACAAAATGCCAGTTCATGACATGGCTGGAGTACATTCAAAATGGAATGCCAGTCCTTCACAGGGCCAGGGTATGAAAAAAAAAATTGTGCAAGTAAATTAGATTATGATTAATGCTCCTACAGATCATTACCAAACATCCTGCTATTCATTTGTTATATTAATTTTAAATCTCATTCTGGAGCTACATTGAAATGAGGCTGAGGAAGGACCCTGTTCTTCTTCATTCGTATTTGTAGCTCCTCCTCCCCCTAACCAAAGAAGGATGGTTCCTCCTCCCCCTAACCAAAGAAGGACGGCTCCTCCTCCCCCTAACCAAAGAAGGACAGCTCCTCCTCCCCCCAATCAAAGAAGGACGGCTCCTCCTCCGCCCAATCAAAGAAGGACAGCTCCTTCTCCCCCCAACTAAAGAAGGACGTACGGCTCCTCCTTCCTCTAACCAAAGAAGGACAGCTCCTCCTCCCCCTAACCAAAGAAGGACGGCTCCTCCTCCCCCTAACCAAAGAAGGACGGCTCCTCCTCCCCCTAACCAAAGAAGGACAGCTCCTTCTCCCCCCAACTAAAGAAGGACAGCTCCTCCTCCTCCTAACCAAAGAAGGACGGCTCCTCCTTCCTCTAACCAAAGAAGGACTGCTCCTCCTCCCCCTAACCAAAGAAGGACGGCTCCTCCTCCCCCTAACCAAAGAAGGACGGCTCCTCCTCCCCCTAACCAAAGAAGGACAGCTCCTTCTCCCCCCAACTAAAGAAGGACAGCTCCTCCTCCCCCTAACCAAAGAAGGACGGCTCCTCCGCCCCCTAACCAAAGAAGGACAGCTCCTCCTCCCCCCAACCAAAGAAGGACGGCTCCTCCTCCTCCTAACCAAAGAAGGACAGCTCCTCCTCCTCCTAACCAAAGAAGGACGGCTCCTTCTCCCCCCAACTAAAGAAGGACGGCTCCTCCTCCCCCTAACCAAAGAAGGATGGCTCCTCCTCCCCCTAACCAAAGAAGAACAGCTCTTCCTCCCCCTAACCAAAGAAGGACGGCTCCTCCTCCCCCCAACCAAAGAAGGACGGTTTGTTGGTATGTTTTGACATCTCATCCAAATATACCTGATGTTCATATATACCAGATGTTCATATATACCAGATGTTCATATATACCAGTTAGCCAGTCATTCATTCAGCAGCAATAATATTAGACATTAATATTGTTTTTACACCACAAATAACAAGGTCTGCGTCATGTTCTCTTCTACCTGCTGTATTCCTGCTGAACCTCCGCTGTATCCATCATCTTTCCCCTTTCCACTAGCGGCTCCGTTGTCAGACTTGTTAACAACGCAGTAGGTGGGCTGCATTTTGCTGGGTTAAACAATATGTCACCCATCACTGCACACTGGCGCCAGTGTCAGTGATCCCGCACAGCCCTGGGGATTCCCAAGCACCCTCAAGCACCATAAAATGGTCATAAATATTACTCTGAGCAGCTGTCTAATTTTAATACCGATATGAGTGAGAATCCAATCACTTGACAGTTTTTAATTTATACAAGCCTGTTTCTGGCTCTCCTTTAGAATATCTTTGTTGGGTAACTGATTTTTAAATGATAATGCTAATAGCAGGAATGGTTCGGGTTAAGTGATTTTCGAAGTTGAATTCAAATGTCGTTAAAAACAGTTCAGAAAATATATGTGAACTTAACCAGAACTTTCTGTTGTTTACTGAATTATGTGAATGTAGTGAACACACACACACTCAGCCTTGCTGCAGTGTCTTCCCTGACAATACCCTTGTGAGAATGTCCCCTTAACATAGGTCCTGGGGGGGGCACAATCTGTGCAGGCTTTTGGGCCAAGCCTCACCAAGGAGAAACAGACTTCATACAACGGACCATTGGTTTGCATTTAATAGAAAAAATAAAAGCACTTCATTTAAATTTAGGGAAGTGATGTCATGCATTTGTGTTTACAAAAGTATGTGTTTGGTTTGTTTTAGCTAGTAAGAGTCTAATGGGGACATTTTCATTTGCAAAAGGCATGCCACAGACTGCAGACTGCAGAGATAATGATGCAGAAAGTGGAGCGATATGTGCTGTCATGATCACGTGCCTTAGGAGGCGCCACCGCAGAGTGAAAGTCTGGGATCCCGGTCGGAGAACATGACCCGAAGTGCCTGCAGTGAGAACACCACCGACGCCATGGCGATGTTCAGCTTCCATGGGAGGGAGAAGGATTCTGTCTGCCCACCTGAGCGGAAAACTGGCCGCTGTCTCTGTAGTGTCCTGTCATAGTTTTCTGCAATTGTCTCTTGTGCTTTTTTCCATCTTCATTTTAGATTATGTGTGTATGGCTGGGGGGGGGGTTACCTTGCCATGACACTAAATGGCTGTCAAGACTGGACGCTTCATGGCGGAATCCATTCAGTTACGCCTCTCCCAGAAGGGTTGCCGGTTGGCCTCATCAGGAACGTGTCACTCAAACCTGAGCCCCCACAGAAGCTGAGAATAGATCGCCACGCTTGGTGACAGCCCCCCCCCTTGCTTTTTACATTCTTCTTTTGCCCCTTTGGGTAACTACAAAAGTTCCTCCGGTTGCCATAGAAGCGGCCGTGTTGCTCATATTACAGACATCGCATCCTTGTCACGCTGAGGTAAGAAAAACACCACCCCCCCCCCGCCCCATCGACCTCTCCTCACAAGTAATGAGCTATTCTGCCCGTTTCCTCATCTGAAGCACTCCCACTGTCCCCGCCTCGGGGCTAGAGGTCATGAAATGGGGGGGGGGGGGGGGGTGACGGATTCATGGAGTCGGCGTCTCACATAAGCTTGGTAGATGGGTGTTGGGCACAGACCAATCACGTTCCCCTTAATGAAGCTAACGAGTCCATCTAGAATGCAAGCTGCTTTCGGCCGCACGATGGAAGCGGAGGGAGAAGCCGCAGGACAGATGTGTGCCGTCGCACAAGACACAGCACCTGTTTATACCACAACCATTTCCTCTGTTTATTTGTACATGGAGACGTATGGCGTTTTTGTTTTTTGGAAAGGCAGTCAAACAGCCTGCATGGACCTGCATAATTAGTCAGACAGGCCTTCCACTTTCTCCTTGACTGTGAAGTTGGCCTGACTTCAAGTCGAATTTATGGAGCTCGTCAGCGTTATAAGACACTGGCTACTCATAGCGCCTGCTTCGTTTTAGTGTATGATTGTGTACGTGACGAGTAACTTTGAAAGTAAGCTGTGCTATCGCACCCCTGGCAAAAAAAATCAGACAGCCGAAAGTAAGATACAAAAATACAGATCAGCTGATTACCTGACAATTCATCTCATAAATAATTTCTGAGCAGCAAAAAAAAAAACCTTACTGGCCCCTTCAAACCAGTCTGCTCCTCATATGGGAGACAGTCCAGGTGATGTGAAAATTTACCAAGAGGCAGGTTCAAACCTCAGAAACACATCTAATCACTAATACTGCATAAATATAGCAGTGTCAAACCATACAATGTGAAATTGTTGGTTCTAATGCTGTGAAAATTGCTTTGAAGTAGGTGATATCTAAGCAAATAAATGGGGCCGTGTTATACCTCAGCGTTGACAGGAGCTGGAGGGACTTATTGAGTTGTTTATACATCTGTTACAGTCAAAATGACAGGCAGGGCAACCCAGTCATCCTGATAACACTGTACTCTCTGTTACCCCAAGCAATATTTAGAGACTTTTGCTGGATCTGAGTATGAGGCCTCAGGGCTTTGAAAGTGTATCTGTGAGAACATTGATGCTGACACAGGAGGAGGGGCAAAATCAGGGGACAAGCCCCTCCCCTAATCAGTTACCAATCAGATTTATAAACACGGAGTTATCTTTAGGCAGAGGAAGTTGTGGGAATACTAAGGGGGTATCGAGGCCCCTGGGAGGTGGAGAAAGATAGTGATGGGCAAAACGACACTTCATGAACCATTTGCTGTATTTTTTAACTCAACTAGATGGTGCCCTCTGTTCAAGAAAGAGCACAAACCATGTCCCAAACCAAACCAAGAGCACCATCTAGTGGGGTTAGAAAATACAGCAAATGGTTCATGAGGCATTATTTTGTCCATCGCTACTGCTTGGTTATGGACAA